TGACTTCATGACCACAGACGTTAAAGCAACAGGTCTGTAGTCGTTTAGTCCTGTGATTTTAGGTTTCTTGGGTACAGGGATGATGGTGGAGCGTTTGAAGCAGGAGGGGACTTCACACAGCTCCAGTGATCTGTTGAAGATCAATGTGAAGATGGATGATAGCTGGACAGCACAGGCTTTGAGGCAGGCTGGAGAGACATCATCTGGGCCTTTGGTTTTCCTTATCTTCTGTTTCCTGAAGACTTTGTGTACATCATCTTCACAGATCTTAGGTACAGGCTGAAGACTAGTAGGGGGGAGCGACAGGGAGGCTGATGATGGCTGTGTTGTGAGACGGTCAGAGCAGGTGTGGGGTGTCAGACCAGGCTTTTCAAACCTACAGTAGAACTGCTGTATAAGTGCTGGGGAATGGGGTCTTGTAGCTGGTGATGGCTTTCAGGCCTTTCCACACTGATGTAGAGTTGTTACTTGAAAGCTGTTTTTTCAGCTTTTCAGAGTAGTTTTGCTTTGCAACTCTTATCTCCCTATTTAGTGTGTATTTGGCCTGTTTGTACAAGGCTTTGTCCCCACTTCTGTAGGTGTCCTCTTTGGCCTGGCGAAGCTGTTTGAGTTTTGCACTGAACCAAGGTTTGTCGTTGTTAAATGTTAAATAAGTTCTGGTGGGAACACACAAGTCCTCACAGAAACTGATGTAGGACGTCACGGTGTCAGTGAGCTCATCCAGATCAGTAGGGCAGTGGTAGCTTGGTGGTTAGGACGTTGGGCTACTGATCGGAAGGTCATGAGTTCGATCCCCAGCGCCGCCAAGCTGCCACTGGTGGGCCCTTGAGCAAGGCCCTTAACCCTCAACTGCTCAGTTGTATAAATAAGATAAATGTAAGTCGCTCTGGATAAGGGCGTCTGCCAAATGCTATAAATGTAAATGTAGCTGCAGCCTCGAAAACACTCCAATCAGTGCAGTCGAAGCAAGCTTGTAAATCCCACTCTGCTTCAGTAGTCCATCTCTTTACAGCTTTTACCACAGGCTTAGCAG